TGTTTGTGAACATTTAGATTTAAGAAGTAATGCGTTAAAAGTTGAAAAGATAAGATAAACAAAACAAAATAGAGATTTGGAATCGGAAAAAAACCCGACCTCGTCAGTAACGAAGTTGTATTATACTTCTTGAAGCATTGTCTGATCGTGTTACAAAATAATGCACCTGTTTTTTTTCAAAATTTAGAGATATGTCTTTTATCTCCGAGGAGTAAAGCTGAACTCGGCACTGGAAATTCCGTACTTTGTAAATTGATATATCAGTATTTTTGTCTATCAACTTAGCAGATCAAATTAAAACTTATCGCGTGTCTTGTGATAAAACAATTATCGGTCATATTACTGCAAGTAGCACAAAAGATTATTTAAATACAGACGTCTTTTAAACCTGAATAATAGTCGTGACACAAAAGATATAAATACCCATGTGAAAAATGTTAACACCTCCTTGTTAAAACCTAGTTTACCGTGTTCAACCCTTTGTGTCGAAAAGTCGCTCACGCATTTTTATCGAGAATAATCTTCCATCACACTTTCTCTCTGTCCTCGTTTCTTCTCTTTATCCCTCTTTTCATAAGTATTGAATCTCCTCCGATTACCTTTCCTGTCTTTACTCTTTACTGACGCTTGCTATTTTATCCCTTCTAATTTTTAAAAAAAACTCCTTGCCAGCTTTCTGCCCCTTTTTACCCTTTGCTTTCCCACTCTCTAAATCCCCTCTGACTCCTCACTGCCCTTCCAAATGAACACCCCGACCCTTTCTTATCCTCTTCCTACTCCCTTTCAACAATCGACCTCCCCCCACCCCCCCTTACCCGTCTCTCCTCGCTTTATCATCACCACGCCCTCGCTTAAACATCACTGTACCTCGCTTAAACATCACTGCCCCTCGCTTAAACATCACTGCTCCTCGCTTAAACATCATTTCATCCTATTAATACAAAAACAATCACTTGCCCTATTGTAACACCATATCCATTCCCCAACTATACCTCCACTACCCCTCGCTATTCCATCACAGCCCCTCTCTATGATATCATAACTTCTTACTTATCACAACCCCTCGCTATTCCATCACTACCCCTCGCTATGTCATCACTGCCCCTCGCTTTTCTAGCACAGCCCCTTACTATACCGTCATTGCCTCTCGATTTCCATCACTGCCTCATCGTTATACCATCACTGTCCCTCGCTAAACCATTACTTCCCCTTGTTATACCACCACTGCCCCTCGCTATACCATCACTGCTCCTTGTTATACCATCACTGGCCCTCACTGAACCATCACTGCCCCTTGTTAAACCATCACTGCCCTCGCTATACCATCACTGGCCCTCGTTATACCATCACTGTCCCTCGCTATACTATCACTGTCCCTCACTATCCAATCACTGCCCTTCGCTTTTCCATCACTGCCTCTCGCTATTCCATCACTGGCCCTCGTTTTGACATCCCTGTCCCTCGCGATCTTATCACTGCCCCTTCGCTATACTAGCATTGCCCCTCGCGATCTCATCACTGCCCCTTCGCTTTACCTTCACTGCAACTCGTTACATATACCATCCCTGTCCCTCGCGATCTCATCACTGCCCCTTCGCTATACCATCACTGCCCCTCGTTTTACTATACCATCATTGCCCCCTCGCTAAACCATCACTGACCCTCGTTATACTATACCATCATTGTCCCCTCGCTAAATCATCACTGTCCCTCGCTATACCATCACTGCCCCTCGTTATGCTATACCATCATTTCCCCCTCGCTAAATCATCACTGCCCCTCGCTGTACCATTACTGACCCTCGTTATACTATACCATCATTGCCCACTCGCTAAATCATCACTGCCCCTCGCTATACCATCACTGCCCCTCGCTATACCATCAATGCCCTTCGTTACACTATACCATCATTGCCCCCTCGCTAAATCATCACTGCCCCTCGCTTTACCATCACTGCCCCTTGTTATACAATACCATTATTTCCCCCTCGCTAAATCATCACTGCCCCTCGCTATACCATCACTGACCCTTGCTATACCATCACTGACCCTCGCTATACCATCACTGACTTTCGTTATACTATGCCATCATTGCCCCCTCGCTAAACCATCACTGACCCTCGTTATACTATACCATCATTGCCCCCTCGCTAAATCATCACTGCCCCTCGCTATACCATCACTGACCCTCGTTATGCTATACCATCATTTCCCCCTCGCTAAATCATCACTACCCCTCGCTGTACCATTACTGACCCTCGTTATACTATACCATCATTGCCCCTCGCTAAATCGTCACTGCCCCTCGCTATACCATCACTGACCCTCGCTATACCATCACTGACCCTCATTATACTATACCGTCATTGCCCCCCTCACTAAATCATCACTGCCCCTCGCTATACCATTACTGCCCCTCGTTATACTATACCATCATTGCCCCCTCGCTAAATCATCACTGCCCCTCGCTATACCATCACTGCCTCTCGTTATACTATACCATCATTGCCCCCTATACTATACCATCACTGCCCCTCGTTATACTATACCATAATTGCCCCTCGCTAAATCATCACTGCCCCTCGGTATACCATCACTGCCCCTTGTTATACTATACCATCATTTCCCCTTCGCTAAGTCATCACTGCCCCTCGCTAAATCATCACTGCCCCTCGCTATACCATCACTGCCCCTCGTTATACTATACCATCATTGCGCCCTCGCTAAACTATCACTGTCCCTCGTTATACTATACCATCATTGCGCCCTCGCTAAACTATCACTGTCCCTCTTTCACCATCACATCGACCTGACTGTCCCCTCACCACCCCTAGCTATACCATCACTACCCCTCGCTATACCATCACTACCCCTCGCTATACCATCACTACCCCTCGCTATACCATCACTTCTCTCTCTTTACCGTCATCAACGCATACCTTCCCCTACCTATCCACAGCCCTCCTGGCGTCTTCCTTTATCATCGCCACCCTCTTGGTATTCGTCACGACCGTGTGAAAATACATTATGTATGTCTGTACAACACCCACACATAACTATAACTATGGATATAAACTGTACACGATGTATCGACGTGGCTGAACATTCTTGCTTTTGTGTTTATATCGGCAAAATTGTAACCACGACACAGCTCGACGTAAACTGATAGAGTATGGTACGTTAGGCCGACATTGTGTTTGCTTTTTGTTTGTCTACTGCAATCTTATCAAGTATTGTCAGCTTTATGAAATGTTAATATATTTAATTGTTATGTGGTCTTTTCTTTATTTGAGCATAAATATGAGTTTATTTGTAGATACTATATTATGGTGATCATTTTTTCATCTTTGGATATTCAAAATTTCTATTTAATTAACATACATATTGTGCATGTATAAATATCATGAATTCAAATTCTAAATTAGTCTTTTTTTAAGCTATAGTAACTCGACAAAAAATGTCATGGTTTGAGAGAAAAGTTGTTCAGTTCTATTAGGCTCGTTTAGAATCTTCATCTAGTACCATGAAGCTTGAGTCAGGGGCGGATGTTGCTTCTTAAGGAGGAATTAAACATCCTTTTAGCGTTGTACACAAAACATCTTCAGCACACACGCAGGCATACACACATAGGGAGATATTAGAAAGGTGACATAGGACTAGTAATTAGCACCTAATAAGGCAGTTCCTGCGAATTCCTCAATGCCTGTATAAATTGTATTTCTAAGGACTGTGAAGCGCTTTAGAGCTGCTTATTCTAGCTAGGTAAGGCTATTTTTGCATGTATTATTAGTATTAAAAAAAACTATTATCATTGTCACAATATATTTTTATATTTTAGTTTTTCCCAATAATATTTTAATCTGAAAATACTTTAGCTCTTTTCTTTGTAAAAACCATCAAACGCAGCAATGAATATGACTTTTTTTGGTATATGCATAGTTACATAGAGAGAGAGAGAGAAGGTCGCATACCATATTTGGCAGTCAGCTTAGAGCGAATTATAATATTATCTTTGTTAAATACTATAGCTTCTTTCTTGTAATACTGTGTCAAGACACTAATCTATATATGAATTGTTGGAAATTCTGACCCATAACAAGCATATACGCGTACATTTACAATAAAAACGCTCGAGGAAGATGGTAACCATATATTACTGTCACTCTGGAAAAATACTAGCTGCTTCTCTCCGACTCGGCTAGAGAGAAATTTGGTAAGTGTAATACTAGTAAACATGAGGTCCCGGGTTCGACACCTAATGGTGGCATTGAACAAATAATTACCTCTGTTACATATAGGCGCCAACGTAGGGGCTTTGGAAATATTGACAAAATACTAGCGATACTTGCAAAGTAATCGCTATGACCCCTGGAAAACTCGGGACGAGTTCTCTCCTGAGGGGAAGTATATGTCACGTTGGTAAAATAATACCCGCTTCCTACCGACTCGCCTAGGGAGAATATCTCTTTAGCTCATTTGGTCGAGCGTTAGGTCTTGATTTCGAAGTCCCAGGTTCGTCTCCTAGCGGAAGCATTGCAAAAAATGACCTCCGTTACACTACAAAAATGCAAAAGATGTGGATTAATTAGGTTGCCTTACAAGCGTCAGCTGTACGGAATTTCCCTAGCTCAGCGGTAGAACATCGGGCTGGAGAGCCAAGGGTCGCGGGTTCGAGCCCCAGCGACGGCACTATCTTTCTCACTTTTCCTCGTCCTATTTCAAAAAATAAAATAAAATAAAAAATAGAACAGAAACTACATATATCGAAAGCGTTATTTGTACATTGTTGTGAAATTATTTTAAAAAAGAGCTTTATTGATGAAGTTGATATCTCAAAATGACTGCATAACACGCCGATGAAACTATGTGTAAATGTATGCATATTATACGAAACACAACTATTTTCAGAGCTGCTTATTGATAAATCAATACTCGTCTACGATTGGTTGAGAATACCTGTATATGCTCAGCTGCAGCCATGGGATTCTTAGGTAAATGTATCGATCTATATTTCTGAATAGTTAAACGGAATGGCATTGTTGTTTAACCCTGCGGACAGTGTAGTATACAGAATTATTCGCCAGCTGTTCGGATATACTCGTGATATAATTTGCTGACCAATGAACCACAAGTGGAGTAAGTCCGTCATTATACGCAAGGGACGGTCTATTGACGATGTTATCATACCGCATTCAAAAGGGAATTCAACTATTTCCATTATAACAGAAGTGTTTATATACAGTGGTCAGTGAAAGAAAAACACTTAAACAGCTCAAATGTACCTGGAGACGTATTGATTTGAAATGACCACACGTTTTCCTTATCGTTGGTGGACGACAGCCCACTCTTAAACCTATCGACGGAGTCACCCAGGCATGTGCTTACTTTACCTCGCCCCGTGTGCGCTATATTTGGAACTAAACAGGAAAACTAGGATAATGTGTTACTTGTGTGTGTTAAACTAATTCGCCGTCAGTGATATTACGCCTTTAAATTTAATTGTGGATTTTAAAGAAGAGTATCTGTCTAATGTGCAGGACTAGTAGGATGTGTATTACATAGACATATATTTATGGAATTGAAAGTGTTAAAACCTGCTGTTTTAAAGACCGTTTAAGTGGACACGTAAAACTGGGCGTACCAAGTATACAGGTATGTTAGTTCTGTCTCGTTTTCTTCTATTTAAAGAAGCACTGATATTGTGACGCGTCAAATTTATTAATGAACGGTCATGACAGCGATATACAAATTATAACCAACAAGAAATTCAAGTACATAACGATTTAAATTAAACATGATGACGAAATATGTGTTACTATATATAATCCAAACCCTTAAGAAGTCAAATAGCTTACCTCATATATATATATAAATAGTTCTGCATTGACATTACGTTACAAATAAAACCCTATCATCATCATCACACTTTATTTCCTCCAAAAAGGAGATATTGGTGTGCCACGCGTGAATAGAATTGTATCTTTGTCAATAAATAGCTAATTTGATAATTTGAACAAAAGCGAATGTAAAAAAAAACATAGATATATAAATATATATAGTACTACTCCAAAACAAATATCTGACAAAATGTATTTGTGATAGTCGATTTTGTTATGCTTGCTCGTATCATGTTACGGCACTATTTCTCATCCGGGTGAGAAATTTGTCGCAAGAATAGCACTACAGTGCTAATGTTATTTTGTTTGTAATATGCGACGGTAAATAACATTTCTTGAATATTGAATCTTAGTGATATATGCTTACATGCCGAAATAATATCAGTAAAGATGTAACCTTTTTGGTTTGAATGACTATGTATCCCTCAACCATTAAATGTTTCCTCATTCTCGACTCATTGGATAAACCTGCTTGAAGTTGGTAAACATTCTTACAACTAAAAATTATGACGTCAGGTAACAATGCTTCGCGACGTCATATTCCACAGTGACGTCATAGTTCATGGCACTTGATTGGAAGCAGAAAAAAAATATATTCTACAGAGGAAACAATTTGTTTTCTTGATATAATATCTCAGGGTGATTTTTGGTTGTCTAGCCCTCGGCAGAGCTTCAGGCTAGACAACCAAAAAACATCACCCCTCGGGTTGGAGATTTCTCCGTCACACCCTCAAGGTAGGGGAAGATGCTGTTAATCTTTCCCGGCTAAAACGAGTGACACATATGTGAAGGGTGGGATAATTACATGATAACCAACAATCATCCTGTTTAACTATCCATGAACTAACATCTCGCATCAAAGTAAATGGGTGGAGGTATCTATCGATTATAAAGGCGATTTGTGTATGTACTACACACCTTAGAGATTGGTTGTCACTGACAATCGCTATTAGACATTTTAAAGGTCATGCTCTGGTTGCTGATGCTATACATTGAAATCAACTTCTTAAAAAAATACAGTATAATTTTGTATGCATCGAAAACCCAACCGTACGAGTTTAAACTTAAAACTTTTTTATTGCTGTTATATGCTTTAATGTACTATTCATTAGAGCTTGTTCAGTCCTCTGTGACACGAAATGTCGTTTTTATTAAGTGCCGGTGTTTTTTTATCTGTTCTTTTTTTATAAGAATTGAGATTGGATTAAATTCTGTGTTTTGTTATCGGAGTAGATGTAGTCAAGGGTCGCACGCATGACAGGCTCCATCGAAATACTGTTAATCTTATAGACGTTTTAAAAAATTAGTAAACGCGTTCAACTTGTACAGCTTCATGGGGTAGCCATATTATATTCTGACAAGTCTTTCCATCACGAATGCACTTTTTGTTATTTTCGCTTCTTTCAGCCACCTTTTTGCCTTAATCCTCTTGCACCCCCCGCCCATTTAGGTTCTAAACATTTATATTTTTACTGCACCTTCCTCTATAAGCGGTACCAGAAGAAATTGCATTCATAGGGCTATGAACGCAAATTGATCAGCCTAATTTTGAAGGTTCTCCTCCCATTTCGAATAGCTTGAGACAACCGCTAGTTCTAAGCAAACACAACGGGATTCATAGAACATGTAAGTGACCGGTTTGCGTTTATACCACCCTCGATATCCAGGAGTTACGCTCTCTTTCGCTCTCTGCACCCCTGGAATGTGTCATAGCAAAACCGCCGGCTCAGTGTGCGCCACCTTGTGGACGAGACGAGCATGTAAGTCTGAACCTCTGATGTACATAAAAAGAATCTCGCGGTCGCGTAACGGTAAAACTTTGAAGTCGGGTGTCGCTTCTCTTTAATCTTCAAAGGACAGGTATCAGCCTAGCGATTGGTCAGTTCTTTTTACCTGAGACCAATCAAACAGCTATCTTCGTGCCTTCAATTTAGCTATGACATATTCCAGGGTTGTAGAGAGCGAAAGTGAGCTTAACCCCTCGATATCGAGGATGCGTTTATACCGACATGAACATTGAAAAAATCGTTCAATTATCATATTTACCACAGCTACAAGAAATGTACAGTTCATAGGGTGATTCTACCTGTTCGCCCACAATATTGTCTTTGTTATTCTGATCATAATCTGTTGAGTTGTATTACAGATGTGGGGTGTGGTTGGGTGTGGGTTGGGTAATGGGGTAGGGGGAGGGCCATCATTGATACTCCAGGGGTTACGCTGAGGGAGGGGGGTCCTGGGGGATGGGGGAAGGGATTGAAGACAATATTTAAATTATACATACTATTTATAGGTAATGCATCTATGCTTTATATCTCACTAAATTTATATACACTTTATTTCAACTTATATAAATAACTCTCTTTGGCCTGGATGTTAGCGCACAGGGGTCTTATTGTGGGAGTAAAAACCGGAGTACCCGCGTTGTTGGGCAGGTGACCCCATACCTTTTCACGTCCGATCGGGGAAACGAACCCCAGCCGACTTGGTGAAAGGCAAGTGCGCTATCCAATTCACCACCCGACCTCCCTATACATCTATATATCTCTCTAAATGACAGCCCATCCTGTCGTGGTGTGTCATACATTGTATATGCCACACATTCCAGATCTGAATCTCGGATTTCACTATATACACGTACTACAAGATACCTTCTGTGGTACAAGTAAAAATTATATGTATCACTTACTATCGACAAGTCAACGTGATACCTCAGGGATTTTTCATTATATATATACTGTGCCCACAGATATTTTTGTCACAAATGTGACCTACATTCGTATATTTGCTTATTTTACGAGAGAACTCAAGATAATGTACAGGATTTATGTTTAGTCTTGTATAATGTGAAATAAGTCTTCTTAAACGTTTGAAGGGTTTCGTGAAAATCCCCATAAGTATTAAAATCTCCTCCGATTGTGAATACAGCCTCGATACTCCAGGGGTTACGCTCAGTTTCGCTCTCTACACAGAGCGTAAGTGTATAAAACTCCTGGAGTATCGAGGATACATATATATATGTACCTTGTATGTGGTATGCAACAGATCCGTGCTAAGATAACGAAGCAGATACGTACTAGCTTACATGCATATATTTCACACATGAAAGCACGTCCTCAAATTATACATATATGATAGTTAGCCATTTATGAGCAGAAACACTGGAGAGACCGACGTGGCATATACTGAGGACAAAACAATATATTGATCGTTTTTATCGACTCTTAGTTCGAATAGCTTTTTCGTTGACACTTCGTCTTCGATATTTGGTATTCACTTCATGTAAACAGCAATATACAGTAAACGCTTTGGCGAGATGTGTTTCAATATAATTTAGTCAAAGCGACAAGGAAAATTCAACAGTGAAGCCGTTATAGTGTCATGTCTTCTCTTCACTTTTCATTCATTTCAGTGAGATAGCACTATAAAGTCGGCATCTGATCCGCGCTATCACAATGAGGCAAGCACAACCAACATCAACATACCATATCTCCTGCACATACACGCACAAGCACGCATATACTGCGCACGTGGAGGCACGTCCTTAAATGACCATAGCTGTTAATAGGACGTTAAACGGAATTAAATCAAACCAGACCAATGATTCAATTTACAACTTATACTAATCACTCTTGTTGGCACGGATGTTAGCGCGCGGAGGATTTTACTGTGGGAGGAAACCGGAGTACCCGGAGAAAACCCATGTGGTCAGACAGGTGACCCCATACTTTTTCACGTCCGATTGGGGAATGGAACACCGGCCGCCTTAGTGAAAGGCAAGTACACTATCCACTGCGCCACCCGCACTCTCACGTCTGAAGAGTGCTACTAGACGCCATTCTATTTCTGAGAGTGATACTAGACGCCGTTCCAATTTTGAGAGTGCTACTAGAAGCCATTCTATTTCTGAGAGTGCTACTAGACGCCATTTCAAATTTGAGAGTGCTACTAAACGCTATTCCATTTCTGAAAGTGCTACTAGACACCATTCCATTTTTGAGATTGCTTCTATACGCCATTCTAATCCTGAGAGTGCTACATGACGCCACTCTATTTCTGAGAGTGCTATTAGACGCCATTCTATTTTTGAGAGTGCTACTAGACGCCATTCTATTTCTGAGAATGCTACTAGACGCCATTCTAATTCTGAGAGTGCTACTAGACGCCATTCTATTCTTGAGAGTGCTACTAGACCCCATTCTATTTATGAGAATGCTACTAGACTCAATTTCATCTCTGAGATTGCCACTGGACGCCAGTTTCTTTTCCTATTATTTCAATCATCACCTTGCTCTACCCTGCAATGAGACGTCCCTTCCTCATCACCTGACCACACAAGCATAATGGTCCCTGTCCCGCTGTACTGCTGGTTTTTTTACTACATACAGTAACCTGCCCTTAACTTCCGTTTGGATATAACTCTAGCACATTTGATTGTTACGTCATTGGTTTGTGTGAGAAAATTACGTCGTTTTCTCAAAAATTGATGACGTTACTTTCACAAACAAAAGACGTAACAATCAATACCTGCTCTCAAGAGAAGATAACTCTGCAATACGCAAAGACGGAATTACACACCGTTGACCAGGTAGCACAATCGGTTACAGCGATAGTATAACAATCTGAAGTCCAGGGTTCGAATCTCTGTGTAGCCCCGTTGAAATTTTAGCACTAAGAACCTTCATGTTATTATAGTTGGGTCTGTTCATATTTATTATTTTTTCAAAACAATTCCGCTTGGTATGATTTTCATAT